TACAAAACATAGAGAGGAAAACAAGAAGAAAAGGGACAAGAAGAGAGGGACACAACCTAGAACAGATAATGGATGTCTATTCTATTAACATTTATACATCTGGAGAATGGGGCTGTTTGATGTCTTCTCCATTCAGAGGGCCCCCTGCCTGCCTTTGCCCAGGGCCCCACATTTCCTAAATGCGCCCCTGGCTGGGAACCAGTAGCATACTGGTTCCAGTCTAAATGATGACTTCACTCCTAAATAACATCTAATTTGAAGGAAGGAGGGATTTTAAAGGAGACCGACGTCCTGACCTGACAGGAGCTCTTAGGCCCCGCCCACAGGCCACAGGTACCTGAAGGTGTCGCCCACTCTGTCCCTGAAGCAGATGAAGCCGTCCTGGTCTTCGGCCATCAGGTCCCCGGTGTTAAAGTAGACGTCCCCCTTCACAAAGACGTTCCTCAGCAGCTTCTTCTCCGTCAGCTGCTTGTTTCCAGCGTAGCCGAAGAAGGGGCTGAGGGCGCTGACCTTGGCCAGCAACAGCCCCGTCTCTCCTGAACGGAACCAAAGCATGAGACGGGTCGGACCAGAACCGGAACCCTGGAGGAGACGGTTTCCAGCTTTACCTTGTTTGACTCTCTGACAGAAACCCTGAGGGTCTTTCACCGGTTCGTCTTTAACCATGTCGTACTTCACCAGATCGTACTTGAACAGAAGCTGCAGACAAAGAGGAACCTGATGAGGAGCAGATCTAGCACAGAAATCTACAGTGAAGATGGTAAAACATCATTTTATTTAGTTTTTAGTTCACTAGTGGCTTGTTTTTCTGACGGTGGTATGAGAGACAGAGATGGACACGCAGCAAAGGACCGCAGGCCGGATTGGAACCCGGCCTCGCCGAGGACTAAGAGGTCTGTTCATGGGCCGTCTGCACTAACCGCTGCGCCACCTGCACGCCCCGCTAAAACATCATTACCAGGACCGGGCGCCCCGCTGGTCCCAGTCAAACCGCAGACGGCTGTTTTCCTGGTTTTAGTTTTTCAGGGGGACGCCATTAGGCCGTAAACGCTGACGTTCCTCCTGCTTCCTGCATCAGCAGCCAAGCTTTCATCAGGAAACCGTGTTTAATTAGCTCACCAATTATTGCCCCTTCAGGCCTCCTACCACGGTGCAAGCAGCTGAATAATCATTTTAAGGACCAAAGCCATTCCAGCCGTTGTCATGGCAACCTAAATCCAACCATGCGGACAGTATTTTTAGGTTGCTCCGTCTGGTTGATGTTCAGAGTTTTATCTGTGAGGCTTTGAGCTGAAACTGTTTCATCTTTACAGACATGAAACTTTCACCTTCCTAACAAACTGTTTCCTGAATATTTCCTTCCTTCAGCTCCTCTAACAGAGTTTTAGTGGATCTACTGAAGCCTTTAATGCTACATCTGCAGCTAACGGCTAACGGATTAGAGCAGCGTCTGCAGCTATTTTTAGCTGTGAATCGGGTTCATCCAGCAGCCAGACTGTGGGACTGTCCTGATCCTCACCGCCTGAAGCTCCTACCCGTTTCCTTCTGTCTAAATGAGGAATTCAGGAATTAAACCATCAACATTTCTGTGATAAAACTGCTAAAATAATGTATTCATTAAAATATCAACCTGGACTGTAAAGGTCATTTAGTTTTGTAACAATCTTTTATAACTTTAATGGTGAGAGGACAGCTGAGGTCAGAGATTAGAGCTGAACAGATGGAGGCCACGGTTTCCCAGCCGCTGCCATGACCTGCAGGCCAACAGAGCCGCTTCAGGAGGCCAATCCTCTGACAGAAAGCTCCTTTAGCAGGTTAAACATGTCCTCCTCCCAGGCTGCTCTCCTGCTTCACACACGTCACCAGGCTGCGTGCGTTTTACAGTCTGGGTTCTGATCCGACGGATCAGTAACGGTTCTGCTGCATGCAGCTCCAAACATTCCAGGAAACTCCTTAAACTTCTGTCCTTTCTTCATTCTGAAACCACAGCCCACTTCCTGCAGAAAACCCTGGAAGTGTGACGGACAGTCGGTCACATTCTCCATCAGCTGCTGTCAGAACATGTGACCAAACGTAATGGAGAGCAACAGGCTCACAGCTGAAAGGCTTCTTGTTCATCCATTAAAATAGCTGAGGTTAGAAAAACTTATTTACGCAAAAGTAAGGTCACATTTTTTCAGAACAAGCTATGGTTTGACATTTGGTTTGATTTCACCGCTCATTATTGATGTTGTATCACAGTCAGCTCCATAAACACTGCGACACCGACACGGTGCTAATGCTTCTGGCTCTATGCATCACCACAGCGGATCTGAAACACAATCAGGTGATTTGAGGCGGTTTGGAATCCAAACAAACCCGTCAGAGATGGCAAAGCATTGGGTGAGGTCAGCATCACTGAAAGACCAGACAGAAGAGTCCTCCCCCGGTGTAGAAAAGCCTCAACACTGGATCAAGACTTCACCAGAGTGGATAGGAAGGGTTCACCACCCGACTGGAACCACTGGTGAGCCCCGAGAACAAAACCCTCACGGTTCTGGATCAAAGATCCACTCGACCACAGAAATGGAGAAGATCCAAAGCATGCCACCTCATCCCTGCAGCATGGTGGTGGTAGTGTCATGGTCTGGGAATGCATGGTTTTCTTGTATTTAATGACTTTGTGAGGTTTCTGGGAATATTATCTGCTCCTAAACTCCATGAACGGCGCTACACACGGAAAACGACCGAAGCAACGACTGCGAAAGCAGCCAAAGAATTTATGAAGCAGAGAGGTGGATCGATAAAAACATCCCGATCCTGAACCTATCAGCAGAGGCCTGGCAGTGCACCAGCAGAGGCCT